TCTAACAGAATACTTAATTATTATCTTTATAAAATTTATAATATTAAACCAAAAATAAATTATTTCATTATTAAACTTAAATTAAATTATATATAAAAAAATATTCTATATTATAAATCACTTGGCAAAAACTCTTAAAAACAACTTTTTATGCGTAAAGTACTTTTTATTAATACATATTATTTAAAACTTAAGACTACAAGTAGATTATGCGTAAGCACAACTTATTAAAGCTCCATATTTGAATTTATGCAATTAATTGTAGATAAACATAATCAAATACAAGATAAATATCTTATTGTAGATAAACATAATCAATTAATTATGCGTAAACTACTTTCATTTTACTGTTCTCAAAATATTATTTTTGTATGGTTTCTATATTTTTTTTTTAATTTATGTAATTTATTATATATTAATAATAAAAAATAATGTAGAAAAGAGATAAAAATAAAAATAGAAAACCACATAAACTTTTTATTTGGTGTCATTTTAATTGTCTTGACGAAAACTTCAAATGACATTTTGTTATAAAAAATAATTATTCTATTATAATTTAATAAATTACATAAATTGTTTTCTTGATTTTATTATCAGCAAACGTATTGCATAAGGTTCACGCATGCAATTTGTTGTTTTCGATGAGTTTTATATGTTTTCCCTTGATTAGAGTAGTAAATATTCGATTTTGATCATACAGGATTGATTGTACAGATGATAGGTGAATTCTTTTATTTTCTGGAAACCAAGTTTTGCGAATGTGATGATACTATATGGGATCACTAGCCAAATTGTTTTCTTGATGCTTATATTTTATTTATTTTATGATATTTAATCCATTTTAATTGATTGTGCGCTTCTTGGTAGTAGTTTTTTCTTTTTAATATGGAATGCATGTAGATTTGTTTCGATAATAAATTCTTGATGCTTATATTATATTTACCTTTTTCATATATCATTAGTTGATTATGAAATCATGTATTTTTGCAAATGTATTTTTGCAAGGAGTAGTGCTTTGATGTAAATTATATTTTGCACACTGTATTTGTTAACATTTATATTGATTATTTAGTGAAAAAAACACTAAACTGCTCACTGGGGGTAAATTGATCATTTTAACCAGTTCTGTTATGTCTTACCAAACGTTGAATAACTGTCATGTCATGTCCTGTCCTATCCTGTCTACGCACCAAACGCACCCTTAAAGTGTATTTGAGTGAGCCGTATTTTTAAAGTATATTCTTAAATGTATAAATTATAAAACGTAGTTATAAAATTAAACGTATATAACAAAACGTTTTTATAAAATTAAATGTATATATATATAACAAAAC